TTGGGTACTAGGGAAGAAGGTGATATTGAAACGTGGCGGGAAGGTTACCAGGATCGATGACGTTGTCGGAGTTATCCTGTTTGCGTCTCTATCTTGCTTTTTAGTAGTACCATACTTGGGAGGGAGGGGTTTTGACCCGGTGGCCGGGTTTCCCCTTAGGTTTTTATTGATTTGTTGTTTTTGCGGAAAAAACCTGACTTGAGGTGGCGGAAGCACGCATCCCACAGAAGAAGTGGTTAGTTACTTTAGTGTAAAGAACCAGGGAGGGTGTTCGTGTGAGTGCGTATGTAGTCGGATCTGTAGACGAGATGACTGTTTCAGGTGCACTGCACATAGGTATGCGTTGGGTAGTACGACCAGAGAATGATTGTGCGGAGCCCCCACGCCAGCTGCTGTCAGCTGGCGTGCGCGTGGCACTCCCTGCTCTTTCCCCCCAACCGGGTGTGAGAGATAACAAGCATCTAAACATCAAGCACTACAATCTCTACAAAGACAACAAGGGCATACCACTTAGGGTTGACGAATATCTTGTACATGTGCGCCGCATGAATACTCGACCGAGGGCACAAAAGCTGTGTCGATATGTTTTGGTTGTCTCTCTCTTTTCCTTTCCCGGCAGAAACAAACACCTTCTTCAAGGGTTCGAATCCGGCCCACTCTTGTTCAAAGAGCGTGTGAGTGCTAAGAACATGTCGTACATGTACCTCGATCAATATGACGTCGCCCGTCGGGGACAACTCCACGCATTGCTCCCTTTCCTCGGGGCCACAGTTTTCATCGTCAGAATTCGCTCTCCCTCTCTCTCTACCTCTCTCTTGTCCTCTCTCCTCTTCGTGCTAGGTGTAGTCCGGCACGTGAGCTTGGGGTGCGAGGGGCGTTGGGGTTGAGGTGGGGGTTCACAGCAGAACAGCAGAAGTGCGGGGCTTACGAGTTGGTCGTAAAAACAACGGTTGGCAAACGATGCTACGGTAGAAAAAGCGTCTCTGGTTCTCTGTGTTGCGCGACGCGAGGTGTTGGGAGCAGCACCTCTTGCGGCTGCTTCCTGGTTGGTTCGCTCGCACTACCTGAGGGTCCTGTGGCTGGTTAGCCCCCCCCCCCTCTTACGAAGCGATTTTCCTCGATGGAACGGATGCGAGACTCAGACGGTACAACTGCAGCAGTACCGCAGCTTCAGCTGCAGCTGTTACCGCAGACCGGCGGGCATTTGGGCTGCGGGCAACGCACCGAACCAGAACCAGAACCAAAAACTCAGCGGGACAGCGGGACTGTGCGGTTTTATCCGGCGCCCATCGCAATTTTCAAGAAAATTCTCTTTCCTTCAGCCATTGCTCGTGACCTACAGTCAGTACCTCACCCACCTCCCACGCCTCCTAAGCCCAGAGGCCGGACTACGCCCAGCAGGAAGAGGAGACAGGACACGAGAGAGAAAGGGAGGCGTTCAAATCGGGGGGTTAGCTAAGAGGGTGCGCATTCCAGGCAGCGTTTCCGGCGGGGGCGGCGGGGGGGTAGACGCTATTTTGGAGGCAATCAAGAGGCAGAGACGGCGGGGAGTACAACCTTGACATTACAGGCAAGGAGCGCACTTTCAAGCTGAGAGGTATCCACTACACACAGCGCACAGCAGTTATCGTGAGAGGCGACAAACACCATCAACCACCACCACCACACAACACTTGTATCTCATTGTTATACAGCAATTTCGGACCACATGCAAGCTGCAGTAGAAAATTTTATCGTTCCGGGGACAGCAGTACCGTAGTCGCGTGGGTGCTTTCGATGCATACCCCCGTGCGACAACTCTGATACGTGCGATATCCAACATGTCACGGCCGTACTGCATAACACACACACGGTCGGTGCTACAGTGACACACACCGAACACAGAAAACTGCACATCATACGTATCGTACGAGACGCGGCGGGATAAAAAACGGCGAAATACGACAGTGGTTTGCAGTAATTTCCCGCCACCGAGAGGTCGCTTGCACAAACACGCCGTGCCGCACTCCGTCGCAGCATGTCAGCGGGTGCAGGCACGGAAGCTGCGTCAGCCTCACAGGCTAGTGCTGCTGCTGCTAAATGAAATAACGTGACGTGACCGATGACAGTCTCCTTTGACTCCTTTGTCATATTTTCCAGTTCTTCAATATGTGGTACCCGATGCCGCCAGACGTCCAGCAGTACAACACCGTTCACGATACCGCGAAGTACCTCCTGTGCAGCGAGTGCCCCGAGCTACTCGAGGCGCGGTCTCGGTGATGTCACACCCCCGTGCGATATCACCCAATCCCGTGCGATAATCGAGTTACATCACTTGGTTATTGTTGTTTTTGTCGCACGGGGGTGCTGTATCACCGGAACGTGCGACATCACCGAACCGCGCGTTCTCTCGCCATCTCGAGCGCGGCATGTGTCTGTCGTTCTTTGCTTACGGTCGGGCGAAACCTGATCGGGGGCAGGAGAGAGGATGAATCAACGGGACACTACACACGCAAAAAAAAGTCAAGACACACATAGGCCCACGAATCGAAATCTGGGCCCGCTGGGGGGGGGAGGGTGCTCATAGTCGTGCATGCCGTAGTCGTTTGACCATTGACCTAGCATCCCTACAAAGCCGGGACGGAGCACTCCGGGTTCTCACCGGACCAGGCTCTCACATCACCAAGCGCGAAGCGCCGTGAGGTATTCGGCGAGTCGCATGAAGGGTGCGGGGGGGGGGGGGGTTGCTGGGGGGGGCTCTGAGTTCTAGATAATTGCGAATGGGGCACCGATGGATAGAAAACCCTCTGCCGTAGATGGGGCAATGACTCATTTTCGCGAACGAAGCTTCCTTACTATATTGTAATTCCGATGTAAAACCAAAATCGAAATTGGCCCTCCCGGGGGGCTGGGAGGGCGGCTGGCCTACTTGTCCGGAATTGTTTTTCGCGGGTACAGTTGGTTGAATACAATAAAATCGCCTGATGCCTCGCACATGAACAAGGTCCTTTTCATTCACAGCCGCGGAGCGCGTGAGATCACTCCTGTGTGTGGCCATTGTGTACTTGCCTGCCTGTCCATCTGCAGCAGCACAGCAGCAGCAGTGCACTACCGTGACCCCTGTGCTAGATGCTTGCTGCTCTCTTTTACACGTACGCTCTGTTGGTTGTTGTGTTCTTAGTCAGGGCAAATCGGTGTTTCAACGCGCGAGGGGCGAGCTGGCCCTAAACGCTCCTCCTGTCTGTCGCCTAGACGAGGGACATTTTGTTATTTTGTATGCGTGTAGGGTGGGTCAAACGCCTCTGTCTGGTCGCACGGGAGGTCGGTCAGAATGTTTATGAAATCTGAACGCTTTTTCTAGAAAGAAGGCGGGAACGTCAGGACCGTTCCAGAGAATGGGCGCTAGTTGCCGTGCTAATTTCTACCATGAAATTTCTGATTTTTTCCCGTCCGAAACGGTCCCCGACTCAAGTTTTATAGAAAAACTGTACACTTCTGTAGTCGACATGCAGTGTGAACGAGCCCGCTACTGCTGTACCTGGGACGAAGGCACACCAGCCGTGAGCCGCCAATATTTACTAATGTACGTTGCATTATGTGCTACCAAGCGCATTCTGTGCTTGATGGAATGTTTGATGATCACAACCCTCCTAGTACCGTAAGAATGCGGGTGTCTTGGCACGGATAGGCGACATCGCACAGGCCGGGGTCTTGGCACAGGGGGGGCGGAAAAAAATCGGGTTCCAAGGAACATATTTGATTATCGCACAGGTATCGTTCACTTCGCACAGGGGTGTGCCGAGACCCCGATACCTTCGGCGAGGTTGGGTGAACCACGAGGTATCCAGCTATTGTCGCGGGCCACTACTGTACGAGAGTAGCTTGTATCATGGGCTCCACTGCTGTACTTTGGCATCGTAACGTTGCTTATGTGCAGGTGATGTTCTTCTAATATTTCTAGAACCGCCTTCTTGGCCAACGCTGTTATTGTTGTCGGAATCGGCAAACGTTATCTACTCAATCAACGGAATCTCTCGGTATGCGATAGGTAAAATGTGGGATATGTCGGAGCCCCTCGATGCCCCGCATGGCGTGCTCACTCTCTCGCTCTTGTCTCTGGGCGTGGCTTTTGTACGCAGGGTTTCCGTCACCACAGCTCTCTTCTCTTCAAGCGGCGTCCGTGCGATTGGCAGGGTGACGGGCAGGGTGACGTAGCATACACAAGAGGGAAGAGCAAATTGCGCAGGTGAACTTGTCTTGTGTTTGTTGAGAAGAAACTGGAAACTGTCCAGGCAGACCCGATTCCCAAGGCATCCGTCAACTGACTTTTCTCAGAATCGGCGCACCTCCGCATGCCATGTCGTCGTCATCATGACACTCGGGTCGTGCACATTTGGTTCCTCCGGACTTTTGGCATTTTCTCATGGACTCGAATATGTGCCAGTCCTGAGAGCACCTCTGGGAGTCGAGCCCACGAAAAAAGTTGTTGCACCTCTATCGAATTTTGCGTCCTGGCCCCAATAGGTTCTCGGTTGAGGGTAAATTCTGCGGGTGGAGCGTGCTAAGGAGGACCCGTTTCCCAAGGTATCCGTCAATTGACTTTTACCGGAACCGGTAGAGCTTGGCACCGCCATGCCTCTTTCCCCCCCGTTTTGGCGTATTGATTGAGGAAAGAAGGGTGGAAAGAAGCCATCCGCGTGTGCCGGAAAATGAAGGCACAGAGACGCAGACGATGCATGAGGGCCAAAAACGTTCCCTCCGGAGCAACCTGCGGCGCCGAATACCTCCATATCACATTCTGTTCTACAAGCGCCCACTCGCTTTTTGGCCTTGCCCTGCTGGTCGAGGGCTGCCCATCGAAACAATGAGTTGCAGCGGTAGGGTGAGAACGATGTCTAGCCTTGTGAAGAAGCACGGTACTGACGAGCAACAATACTAAGTGCACCGTGTTCGTCGCAATGACCTATTCGACAAATACGCTATACAATGCTCCCTATCCAGGTGTGGTGCCGCCGAAACTGATGTCTTCTGACGACGGCAACTGCGGCAGCGGGGACGAGGAGGAATGCACGGAGTTGTCCGGGGCGGGCCTCGTGATATTTATCTGGGTATGCTTGCAAGTTGATCTCGACACACTCACACGCTCCTTGAAGAAGAGCGGGGCGGAGTCGAACCCTTGTACGTAGGTGTTCGTTCTCGTCCGGGAAGGGAAGGAGAGAAAATAGAAGAAGTGCTTTTGACACAGAATTTGTGCCACCTCGGTTGAAAGTTCATGCGCGTACATGTACAAGAGAATGCCAACGACGTGCGCTACATACCGTACCCTGTCATGTGCATCGAAAATCCCGTCATTTCAAAGTGCCTTGTGTTTTCGTGAGGACGACAAAACCGTTTGAGGGCACCATTTTTGTACGTATCCATCGATAAATGGACGTCTCCTTTGTCGATTGCAAGATTGAGTTACATTACTCCAACGCTATCTGACCCATTGGCAACTAACTTTTTTGTAACCGCTACTTGCCACCAACTCTGTGTTGCAATTCTGCTGTCAGATGATGGGGGGGCTTTTCGTGAATTGGTTTCTGATAATAATGAGTCCTGCGCCCTTCAACGACCTCCCGAACGTCTTTAAGTACACCGGGATTTTACGATATGGTCGGTGAGTATTTTGTATCAGGTGTTCTTGTTGTTGTCTTCACAATAGAAACCGCTCCGGTCTCCGCTCAGCTGTACCTTCTAATCTCATACTGGTCCAATTGACGCGGACATCAGTGAGCCTAAACAGGTACATGTTTTTTTTTTTGCGTGGTCAAGACATTTGCAGATGCCTTCACTGACCCCCAGCACCACAGTACACTATTCTCGGAAACCATGTGGCTGTTTGAAATCTGGAAACACCATTACGAATCCCGTTTCCAAACGAATTCTGCTGAGGACAGGGTTTAGGCAAGGGGTTTTCATGCCCCCCCCGACGCTGTTCTCGTGCCTGCCGGAAGAATTCGCCGTTGTACGAAATTTCCATCAAGACCACAAAACAGTACCCCCCTCGGCGTGTTCCCTGCCGGTACTTTCTGCATGTTCCACAACACCTCCGTAGTCTCGACAAAAACAGAACTTCGCCGTACATAGAGCGGGCTTGTCTTAGTTTCATGAGAGAAGCTACCTACAACGGATGTCGCAAAACGCGTGGAAAACCACGATGCCTCTCGTTGTTTCGCAGGCTAACTCAACAACTCGACATGTGCACGCACGTTCATGTGAACGACAACAATCGAGGTTCTCGGTTGTGTGCTTCCTAATCATTATATTGAAGTTTGTGGACTGTTGCTATTACTACGTATTGGTCGATTGGTGATGCACCTGCGCTGTAGTAGGAAGCCCCGGTAGTACTCGGTTATGTTCAGGATGCTCGCCTCAAGTGTGGTTCGACAAATTGATGCACATGGACATACCGGCACACGCTTCCGGCTACATGGGGGGGGGGGGGGGGGGTGTTTCAAAAGTACAACAGAATCACTGAACACGAAACGATATCGAAAGTAGCTCGCCATCGTGGGAGAACGACGCTGCGATGTTTTCGCATTGGCAGCCTCACCGTAGTCCAGTCGTCCTTATCGTCACAACCGTGAATAAAACGAAGCCCCAAATATCGCACAACTCCACCACTGTCTGGGTAGAAACACGTATACATATTGCACACGCAGTGTCCCGGGACATTGTTGCCATGTGCGATACATATTACTCGCACCTCATCGATGGCTAGTCGAGAGACAGGGTGCCGAGCATGGGCCAAGGATGCAACATGTATCATTGCAAGTATGCAACGAATCTAACACCTTGGTCCCCGGCCTTTCTTCTGTTCTGCTGCAGTTATCCGGGGTGCTGTTGCTTCTTTATCGAGGTACGGTGCTGCGGATGGGGTGACTTCTGGCGGTCTTGCGCTTGCCTCAGACTGTTGGCGACGTCCGTCTCTCGTATACGTGCCCGTTAAGTGTTGTGTGAAGCACTCGCTCTCAGTTCGAGACGACATTGATACTTTGTAGTTCATCCGTGATCCCAGAGTTTAGGGGAACCGTTTCGCGTCAGAGGTAGGTACAACTGTTCTTGTTTTGACATGTTCTGTCGCATGTTCAAGCGTAGACTACTGCCTTGGGCTTTCCGGGGCCTCGAATGATTCGCGCCGCATAAAGTGTGCTGTTTGCACCCCGACGTTGACCTTTCAAAGGTGCAGCTCACCGTGAACTGTGCATGATGCTGTCTTACCTTCCCGCCCCCATTTTCTCTTACCCTTCAATCTGAGCATATTAGGTTATTGCAGTTTGGACCGCGTGTGGTTGTCTGGGGCCCTTGCCCTTGGCAAGCGTGCTCTGCTGGTATCTCTGGCGGTATCTGCGGCATCTCTGGAGTTTCTGCATAGACCTCCCCCGACAAGCTGGTGAGTGCCGTGGAAGCGGTCGTTGTTACAGGTCTTCATAGAGGGCACGGTCACTTTTCTACATCAAGTGTATGCTACAGGCAACGCCCGGCCAATATTTAGGTGCTCACCCGTTGAACGGGGGGGTAGTTCTCCCTCTTTCATTTGATCAGGTAAAGGTAATGTCAACGGTTCCTGTTGCTGTCTCTCGACAATACTAGAACGCAGTAGGGCTTACGGCAAGGGGTGGCTTCTGTCGACAAAGTGTCAAACAGCGAAACCGTTTTACTGCTGTGCCTCGAAGGAATCATGGGAGGCGTACGGCGTCACCTGTGCTTCATTTTCCCCTCGCAGTCTACAGAAGGTTGTACGCGTTCCTCCAATAGCAGCAGCATCGCTCCTTTTTCATCTCATTGTTTGGCGTGTCGCAGCGAGGAGAAAGGCACAACTAGCGGTGGACCGCCTGCGAAGATTCCCGGGTCAGAAATCGTGGCAAGCTCGGGGCTGGCTGATCATGATGCGGGCACGTCACGAAAGGTCCTCCTCGGCAAGGTCCAAGGGCTGGCGGGCCAGGTTGCGGAAGCTCGAACGTTACGACGAGGCCAGCATCATCAAGTATGCCATGAGGGATTTCATGGGCGGCCAGACCCCTCCCGAAATAGAGCTACTAGAGGCGGGAAGGCTCAAGATGAATTTTGTGCGGGCGGTGATAGCGGTGGTTGAGATTCAGGAGGAAGGGTTGTTCCGCCACATCATGTCGTACCTATAAGTTGGGGGCGGTATTCACTACTGTAGGTATTGTGTACTTCGAAGTATATACTATCGCCTAGGAGCACGGAGGAGAGTACCATGAAATTCTAGGAGGCCGGCGGGCGGCTAGACATCGTGGAGCGAGCATAGCCATCGGCATATCCTTGCAAGGTCCGAGTAGAGCTTCTCCAGCGTGATTGTGATTGTGATGGCAACTAGACAAGACATTTCACTGCCGAGACTGAACGCGACAGAAACGGAACACCGGTGAGAAGCAAAGGTGTTGTGACCTGGCTTTGTATCGGCATGGCACCGCGGTTATGTCACGACTCTGAAAAAAATGCACTGAACCACCGCCGCCCAACCGCTCAGATATATGGCGTACACCGCAAAAAGCTCCTTAACGGTAACTTAGACACCCTCTTTGACGTGTACGCGCCCGCACATATGATGACCTCATATTGCGCGAGGCTCGCGCCTGATTTGCTGCGTCGAAACCGAGCATCGTCTCTTGCGTTGCGAAGTTTTTTGTTGGACAGGTATCTCCTGCCATCGTCAAATTGCCAGAGGTTCTCTTTCTGTGATTTGCTGTTGCTGGTGGTGGTGGTGTCGTCGTCCCCGACGCTCCTCACATATATACCCGTCCTCTGTACCGGTCCAACATCCGTATCGGTCAACGGACATGCCAGCTCTCAATCGACTGCTCCCTACAGGACAACAGCTAAGTTTGTTGTCGGAGCGGAACCTACGTAAGAGTTGGAACGCATCATTGTGGAAAACCGGGGCCACCAGATGTAGAGTGCACTTCGCGTGCCCCCCGAACCTTCTGGACACCAAATGTAGAGAGCACACGTGTGCCGTAGTCGTCGGTTGTTGCACTAATGAGCGCGAGAGAGGACCACGGAGTACGTGAGCACGCCGAATGATTGAGGCATTGGCCAACATTGACAGGTGGCCACAGGAAGTAGTGTCTTTTCTCGCCCACCCCCCCCTTTTGCTTTCAAAGGTGGGGGAACGGAAATGGCATGAAGCCCTTTTGTTTCCTTTAGCTGTGTTTCTAGCATTTGTTAAGGGTGTAGTGGATGGATGTGGTTGAATGGTCAACTGCCATTTGGGGACTTGGTCATTCCAGGCTCCTGCGTGCAGTAGCAGCAGCCGGATTTTCCCGGCTGGATATAGCTGGCCTGCGAGCAGAGAGAGACAGTTTTTGAGGGGGAATCAGGCGCGAGGTTTGGGCGTTTCTTGCGCCGGTTGCTACCCCCTTTTCTCTCTCTGTCTGTCTGTCTGTCTCTCTCTCTCTCTCTCTCTCTCTCTCTCTCTCTCTCTCTCTCTCTCCATCCTTGGTGATCTAGAAAACGATAATGACAATGAAAGAAAACAACAAAGTTCATTTTGTTTTGGCATGTCGTCTCGGACTCCATGACGTACGAATGTACACGTAGTCGTGGTGGATACGTCTCCAGCAAGAGCACAGGCTGAAGGAGTTTTGCTCGAGAGTATGAGAAAGGACTACAGAGTACGTGAGCACGCCAAAGGATAGAGGCGCTGGCCTTGACAGGCGGCCACAAGTAGTGTACTACTGACTGTGTACATCGACCGTCGAAGCATCATCAGATGGGATTCTCACAACAAGCTACAACAACAGCGCCTCATCGGCATGTGCCCGTAGAGCGCAAACCATCATGCTTGCATGGCAGCTCCCTTCATGGCACAACTCCCTTCATCACCACATTCCCTTGGTGATATAGTCTACAGAAGTGCCCCGAACGTGAATGGCGTGACAGCGACAGCATACTCTCAAACGCTGCCTCGATAGCCTAGGGCTAACAGCGGGAGAATGTTTGCTGTCGATCCTCATCGCTACCTCTACTACCGGACGCACGGACTGTCCGTACCATGCCCAAGCTGTTGTTCGTCTTGCCGTTGTGGTTGGTCCCGAGTCGGTTCTGGTGTTTGAATGGCGGGTGGTGTGGTCATGTTGTTGTTGTTGTTGTTGTTGTTGTTGTTGTTGTTGTTGTTGTTGTTGTTGTTGTTGTTGTTGTTGTTGTTGCTGCTGCTGCTGCTGCTGCTGCTGTGGTGGTTGTTATTGTCTTGTCAATATAGTAACGGTTCCGATCTCTCTTTCTTTCTCTCTCTCCGTGTATTGTACTGTACTTCGGTACCCTTTTCGTCTTTCTAGTACTGATCAACACTTGGCGCGGTCGAATCCGTGGTCACGGGCTAACATGCCCAGAAAAAAGGCACTAAAAAACATGGACCCGAAGAGTCCGCAAGCCAATGTATATCGTCGACGGATACAGCCGACTGTAGAGCTCTCCGCCCCACCCTCTACACGCTTCTAGAACAGCTTTTTGTCGGACTTGTTCTTATTTTCGATAATCGACGCTGGGTTCGCATCGAGATCGGCCGAAGGCCTGGCGAGGATGATGACCATTATCGTGGAAGTGCTTGGAGCATTCGGATTGACAGCGTCGGAGAAGAAGACAGAGACTCTCCTGATGAAGGTGCCGGAGAAGAATTCCGAAGAAGGGAGCGCCGCCACCGCCACCCCCACCACCTACGGTACCGCTGGTGATCGAAGCAGCGGGGCAGAAGTACGCTCAGACAGCGGAGTTCCAATATCTGGGTAGCCGAGTCAGAGAAGATGATGAACTCACGCAGGAGATCAACCAACGGAGCAGAGCAGCGTGGGCTTGTCTCCGGAAGTACGCCCGGGAGCTCTTCGACAGACCGACGGCACCGTGGGGACTAAAGATCCGGCTAAAGAGCGGAAGCGATGGAGGCCGTGCTGTATGGATGCGTGACGTGGGCCCCACGCCGCAAGCACTACGACATCCTGACGACTACCCACCACCGTCTTCTACTACGGGTTATCGGCTACCGCCGCACGCGCGGCCAATATCGGCAGCTCTCGTACGCCCAAGCCCTGAAAAAGGTCGGATGCCAGAGCGACTAGGGTACTGTTTGACAACGGCGACTGTTTGCCGGAGCAGTGACCAGACAATCGGACGGACGACTCCCGAAGCGACTGATGTTCGGAGATATCGTAGGGGAGAAGGACCCAGACAGCGGGCGTCCGGGAAAGAACTGGGTGTTAAGCTTGAAGGACGACTTCGTAGAGTTCGGTACCAATGGCGAACCCACGCCTGGCGACCTGCGGACGTTCGGGACACCGCGCGGCTGTTGGCCTTTCGCAGCGAAGTTGGAGAAAGGGGTACCTACCATGGTACAGAGGGGTGATGGGGGGAGCGGAGAAGTTCGTGGTCGAATGGCACAAGGCAAGAGAAGCTAAGCATACTACGCGCGGAGGAACGGGACAAGAAGAACACCGGACAGAAGACCAGAAGGACAGCAGAGCAGGGGGGGAAGAGAACACGGGCGGGGAAACGTCGAAATACCGAAGACACGACTGCAGCCGAAGAGAGCAGGACGGAGACGGCTGAATGGATAGAGAGATGTGTCCCGGGATGATGGTGGTGATTATGGAGACGATAGCAGGAATACCAACTGGATGTATCCCCATATTTTTTCCGTCGTTTCGCTACCCCCCCCCCCTCCCCCCCCTCGCAGTGCCCCCGAAGTGTTGTCGTGTCGTCGGAAGTCGGTATGTATCTGTTTGGTGTCGCGTTAGTAGTTTCCTCTTTCGTTGTTGTTCCGGTAGATAGACTGGAGCGTTGGAGGGGACCTGTCTATCTGCCGTTTTTGTTTCGTTGTCTTTCTCTCTCTCTGTTTTTTTCTTTTTCTCTTTCTTTTCTTTCTTTCTTTGCCTTTCGTTCTTTCATGCCTTTGACCGGGGTCATCGATCGTCTCTATCCCAAGTATAGTTTTGCTTGCTGTCGAGGATAACACAACGCGCCTTGGAGGTTTTTTCTGGTGTCCTTTTTAATTATTTCTTTGTTGCAAAGGTGTGCCCCCAATAAGATATGCTCAGAGCTCATTATCACCCGGCTGGATCACTTGGGTTTATGGCTAAATCACTGGGATTGAGAGTAGGGATCTCCGGGGACGGACCCCTCGCCAGACGCTGATGGTACCCCTATGGGAGGCAGTTGGCTTGTAACCACGGAAGGCGCCCGCGTCAGTTGGACCAGTACGGACATTATAGGGTATCCACTATGGATTGACGCGGAATTTTGACCTTTGAGGATTGACGCCAACATAAAGTGACGGTTGAGGGTTTTGACGGGAAAAAATTCGCACCGCGTGTGCCCGTTGACACGTGAGAGGTGAAAAAAAAAAAATGGTGGAGGTAGAGTTCAAGGTTGGTTCGGGCTGCCACCCAGGGTCGACATTCCGAAGCGAAGACTCACACCCCCAGGCTCCCAGGAGACTAGGTGTACCCCTTCGCCTCATCCCGCCGACCTTCCCTCCTTTGCCGCGGCGACTTTTCCCAGGCGTCAAACTGCGACTTCCCAGGCGTCAAACTGCCGTTCGTTGCTGATGAGTAAGGCAGCTGCTCGCTGCACTGCTGTGTATATACCGATGTCACTGCGGCAGCAGAGCACCGAACCCCGTGAGGGGGCGGGCGAAATGCACCTACTGACTGGCAAAGTCCGTGTACCCTCCCTTACTCCTCTCCATGTGCTGCCTTCGTGGGCGAGACTCCCCCAATCACTCCCCTGCCTATGCCCCTTTTTGCTGCTGAAAGCCCGTGCGCAATCGCGACGGCGCATCTACCGAACGCGCGCGCCGAACACGCGCGTCTGGCCACTTGGCCGCCGTGAGAACTGCCGAGACGCGTGGGTGCAGGACCGCTAGGAGCAATCAGTATAGGCATGGCCAATGTGTTCGCTGCTGACCGCGCACAGCAGACCGCAGCAGAGCAAGCGTGTGTGAGCCACAGTCTGGCGATGTTTGAAGCGTCAATCTTTTCGCGTCGTTTTATCTTTGGGTGAAATTTAATTTTGACGCTTCCTCACAAAAATTTCGCCGTCAGAGTTTGCCCCCAAAAAAGCGGCGCAACCTCTTCACGTCAAAACTTCCTGAAATGTCAATCTTTCACGTCATTTCAACAACACGTGGATTCCCTCTATTAGAAGGTACCGGAACGGTTTCAACAACAACAACAACAACAATCGAGCGAAACGACCAGCACTTGGTGCGTACGAGGTACACCACTCGCCGCAAAGATGAAGTTCCCCCACCGATCCTATGTAATGTGTCTGCTGTCTGCTGCTGCCCGAAGGCTACGGATGCTGTCATGTATGTGCATGTGTGCATGATCCTTTTTTTTTTTTTTTCTTAATATGACACAACGAAACCATCGTTGTTCATTTGGTTCTCTGTGAACCGAAATCTGAACCACCCTCACGCCCCCCGTCCTTGTTGTGTGCTTCAGGCTTTTTTTCATGGCAGACACCCCCCCTCCCCTCCACTGGCAAGCAACTTTAACAGCAGTTTTTGCAGTCTGAGGAACCTAGCCTTGCTCGCGTGAGGAACCTAGCCTTGCAAAGTGCAACATCGGTTAGTCCTAAAGAGTCACTAACAGAGTGTAAATAGACCTCAACTTTAACTTTTGAAATATCCAAGCCGCGTGCCTCCCAAGCACCTGTTTGCTGTTTGCTCGCTCTCTCGCTCTCTCTGCCGTCTGTTACCTATTGCAGGAGCTTGGTCTGCTCTCCCTCCGGTACGCACCACACGGAGATGGACAACGACCGCCCGGCCGACCATGGGCATACGGTCTTTTTTCGGCCTTTCTTCGGGAGGGGCGGGCGGTGCGGCCAAGCCCAAGCCCAAGACACCGGCTTGGGCGAGCAAGAAGGGCGGGCGGTGCCCAGGGGAAGCCTCCGAGCAAGGAGGCCACCGCTAGCAGCAGCAGCCCCAAGAGCAGCAGCAAGGGTAAACCCCGGGGGGTGGGGGGGGGGGGGTGTACTCATAGTCGTGCATGCCGTAGTCATTAGACCATTGACCTCGCATCCCTACAAAGCCGGGACGGAGCACGCCGGGTTCTCACCGGGCCAGGCTCTCACATCACCAAGCGCGAAGCACCGTGAGGTATTTGGCGAGTCGCATGAAGGGTGAGCTGCATCCTGCTAAGGGTGTTCGGCATCTTGTGCTTACTTCCTTGCGTACGGATGACAGCTACGTATGACTTAATTTATTTTCTGGTGCTTTCACTTCCAGAGACAGTTGTAAGCACTGTGTAACTGCCTCGAGGGTGCTTGACCATTTTAACACAACGTGGTGCGATCATCCCCCGTTGCGCGGAGTGAGGTTTCTCCACCCCGCACAACATGATCTACTCGACCACCATCATGGTTACCGCCAAAAAAAAAAACGACGTAGAAAAAAAAAAACGGTAACCTGGTTGCCGAGTTCACGAAGTGAATTGGCTTGTTTTACAACGTCGTTGTCAAGCGACGAAAACCCAATCCCGATGGGAAACACCGAGCGGGGGGCTTGTTTTACAACGTCGTTGCCAAGCGACGAAAACCCAACCCCGATGGTAAACACCGAGCGGGGGGCTTGTTTTACAACGTCGTTGCCAAGCGACGAAAACCCAACCCCGATGGTAAACACCGAGCGGGGGGCTGGGGATTGACTCGTCTGTGCATACTATACTCGATTGGTTGCGTTTCCTTTGATCGTGGGCAAAATCATTGAAACTATGTACCACCCCGAACGCTCACCAATACCGTACCGCACCGCACCGCTCCGCAATCCAAGCAGAGCATTTCCGCCGAGAAGATCCAGGCGGCGAGGGGGCTCGTGGATGGGCTCAAGAAAGTCGACGCACCAGGGTCTTCTACAGCGGCGGTTGGGAGTCTCGGGCCGGTGGCTTCGCTGTCCAGCATGCCCGCCCTCGTGTCGGGGCTGGAGCGACTGGCGGAGGCGTACATAAACCTGGCCATGGTGGGTGGTACAGCAGTACGCGTGTGCAGCGGCGGCGAATCCGCCACATTTTTTTGTTTTTTCCAAATAGATCTATTTTTTTTTATTCTTCACGAGCGTTTTTTTTTTTCTGTCTTACGTGTTGCTGTATGTTGTCGGTTTTGCGCCAGCCTGTGTCTGCTGTGCTTTACGCCGGCCGTTCTGTTGATGATGAAGGTTACTGTAGCTCTCTGTGCTGCTTGTTTTACGACACACCAAGCAATTGACGCTTCTTGTTTTTTTCGGTATTTTCTTGGTTGGTGTGTCTTTTGGCGGGTCGGCCCTGCTCGTTTGCCCGATTCTCCGAAAACCCAACCCTCCTTTTTGTTTTTGTTTCGCAGGTAAACACCACCAAGTTCCACAACAAGAAGACGGGCGGGATCACTTTCGCCGAAGCCGTGCCCACGGGCAAGCCCACGCTAGACCGCTGCCTGCGCGATCGTGGCTTGGGTCTGGCGGCAGGCTCTCGGGGTAGAGGGAGCAGCAAGAGCAGCGGCGGTGGGAGAGTCATGCCGAGGGTCGTGGCGAGGCCCCCGGCGGTGAGGCCGGACGCAGACTATCGGGGAACGCCGACGATAGTGGGATTCCAGAACTCTTTTTCCATCACCGACAGGTTAGTTTGTTTCCGTATTTTTTGTGCATGGTCTGGTTGTCGTGCCCGTGTGTTTTTGTTTTTTGTTGTTGCTTGTATGTTTGTATGTGTTTGTGTGTGTGCGTGTCTTTTTTTGTTTCCTCCGTCGTTGCTTTGTGTGTTGTCTCAACGTATGTGTGTGCTGTGTGCGTAGTGTGTGTGTTTTCCCGGTTTAGTAGTGAGCATCGACCGCGTTAATTTACCCGACGGACCAATGAGACAATGCCGATGGATAAGTTTTAGAACAATATCTACCGTTTCTGTCTTTTTTTTTCTGCTGGTAGTCTCGTCGTTTGTTGCGTGCGTGACTGTCTACACCCCCTCTGCCTCTCGCTGCCCTTTCTTGTCCCTGTCCCTTGCGTGGACACGCTCACCCTGCTTACGGTTAATGATGTGTCTCTGGATACTTTCATTCATGATGCTGCACCATGTGACGATGTGACAACCCCCCCCCCGCCCGACGTCAATGCCGTGACTACTACAATCGTTGAATAGGTGTTTGCGACGGTGAACACTTTGCTGAGGGAAGACCCCGCCGCCCGCAAGCGTCGGCTGCGTGTCTTCACGTACACGATCGTGCCCCTCTCGCCGGACTCGGGAGTGCTGGAGTGGGTGGAGGACACGATGCCCTTCGGGTCCTACCTCACCGATCGGGGCTCGGGCAGGGCGGGCGCCCGCCGACGTTGCTTCCCGAAGGACTGGTGAGGGGGATGGTGTTTGATTCGTTGAGGTTTTTAGGTGATTTTGAGATTGGTTGATGATATTTCGAGAACACGTTTGGTTGACCGATGTTGCACTCTGTGTATGTGTGTGTGAGTCTTTGTTTATTGTATTTTGGCTCAGACGGACCCCATTTTTTTCCCCAAGCGAACACCACCGTGTCTTTGCCCCCCCCCTTTTTTTCATGGTTGTTGTCGCAATTTGTGCTTACATAGGCTCCATGCCAAGTGCCGGACGCACCTCAAGAACGCGGTGGACACGCGCAAGGGGTACAAGGAGGTCGAGGACAGCTTCCACCCTGCCTTCCGCTTCTTCTTCCTCGAGAACGTTCCGGAGCCGTTCGCGTGGAATAACAGCAGGCTCACCTTCACCAGGTACAGCAGTACTGTTCTAGACGAGGGTGTCGTGGTGTGGTGTGGCCCTCTCTGCTGTGCGGGAGGGTACTGGCTGGGTGTTCGTGTCTTGCATGTTGTCGTTATAGGCGCCGTCATTGTTGTTGTTCGGCCTGAGAGGGATTGAGTGCTCCCAAGCGGCGGCCCCGTCGCATGGGACTGCCTGCACTAGCTTGAAAAAAAACATCCTTGGCGTTGTCGGTTTTTCCGCCCTTGTTCTCAAGGGACCACAATTACTGCCATAGCAAGACAACCCTCTTTAACTTGTGGAATCTTCGACCCCCGCCGCCCGTAATACTAATGCCATAGCGAAACAACACTTTTTCTTCGATGATCGTGTGCATGCGTGCGTGCGTTCGTGCGTGCGCCACACCACGGCAGGAGCGCGGCGGTGAGCTCGATCGTCGGCTACATCCTCGGCATCGGCGACCGGCACGCGCACAACATCCTGGTGCACCAACTTACCGCCGAGGGGGTCCACATCGACTTCGGTGTCACCTTCGAGCAGGGCAAGGCGCTGTCCACGCCGGAGACGGTGCCGTTGCGCCTCACCCGCGATGTCGTCGACGGCATGGGCGTCACCGGCACGGAGGGCGCGTTCCGACGGACTTGCGACGCCGCCATGCGCGTGCTCCGCTCCGACGCCCCCAGCGTCCTCACCATCCTCGAGGTCCTGCTGCACGACCCCCTCTACCGGTGGATGCTGTCCCCGCTCGCCGCGCGGCAGCGGCAGCAGGAGGAGGAGAAGGTCGGCGGCGGCGGGGCGGCGGCGGAGGAGGCGGCGGCAGCGATGGTGGCGGTGGCGGGGGAAGACGCCGGGGTCGGCGGGGACGCTGCCCAGCGGGCGCTGGCGAGGATCAAGCACAAGCTGCAGGGGTACGTGGACCCGAACGGGGACGCGATGAACGTGGAGGGGCAGGTGAAGCTGCTCATCAACCAGGCGAGGGATCCGGAAAACTTGTGCAAGCTCTACCCAGGCTGGGCGCCGTGGCTGTGATATTCTTTTCTCTTTTGTTGGGGCGTGCGGTGCGTTGTGTTCTCTTGATATATGTCTTAGGGGTTTCGGCGATTTTGGGATGGTGTTGTAGACGTGTGATGAGATCGTTGAGTTTTGTGTCGCCCTGAAAGCTGGGCTGGTGAAGTCAGGAGATCCTACCGGTGCTGCCTATACAGTACATGTAAAGTAAAAGTTGGAGATTGTTAACCAGCCGCGTCGAAGAACGACACGCCCCGCTTTCTCCCAACTCCCGCTCCGGATTTTTAAGGAAAGCGGTGTTGTGCTTTGCGGACTTATTCTGGTTGGTCTACGTAGTCTAGTCTCTGTGTTCGGGATGTTTGGTCCGCCAGGAGTTATTTCTTGTTTTCTTTATTGGGCGGTGTTTGGGAGAGTGTTGCCGTATAGCGTAGACGTGCGTCTAAGCGTAGCGAGTGTCGTTGTTGTGTGGCGACGAGGATGGCGGTCGTGCTGCCGTGAGTGTGGGTGCTCGGCGACGGTGGCGGTGCGGTGTTTCTTCTTGGTTCGGTCGCTGCGGCACTACTTGGTTGTGTTTGTGTTCACCTTTTGGTGTGATTTTCATAGAGGCACGAGCCAGGATGATGTTGGAGGAAAAATGCCACACCATAAACCTTGTTGTTTCTCTTCCCCTCCCCTCTGCGGCGCTTGTCTCCTTGGTATATTTCGCAAGAAGTTCAGTTGTGCAATAGAATGCGTTTCCTCCGTGTCCTCAGTTCACCACTTTCCTGTCTTCAAACACAAAGGAGCGTCATTGCCGTCAAGGGCTGCAACACCGCTCCCCGGTCCTCAGGGATACAGAGGGCGAGGCAAACCTTGGTCCCACGGGACACCTCTCTCACGACTCTTCGGGCAATGCTGCCTCGAGCCCAACTGGTACACATGTTTGTCGCAGCGCGGAACACGTTTGGCTGCACTGGCCGTCAGTGGTTTAATGTAGAACCTTACCCTTGCAACGGCCAACAATCCAATCACGTACTGGACTGCCCAGAGACTGGAAGACAGTGTAGTGAAGGAAACAAAAGGGCCGGAAGGAATCACACAAGCACCATGACCTCCGTGCTGAAAGGAGGGCGCTACAAGGACAAGGAGAGCTGGTAGGATAAAAAACGATACATGAGGGAGACAGACGACCTGTCGTCCAAAACTCTCCAAAACAACTAATTTATGTAAAATAACCCACACACATACTAAGTGTGCCTCGAGGGAACCGCAACGGACAAACACCTGACCAGGCACGCGACATATACGTGAAATGCGGGAAACAATCTACCCCTTCCTCCTTATCTCCCCGTGTGCAAAGACGGCAAACAGTTTCGAGGCAGCGAAATAAAACCGTGGTCTAGAGAACGCCCAAATGTTGCGCTTGGCAACAGGCAAAGCCGACCCTACAACCAATCCCTGTGTGCGGCTGGCGAGAAAGAAAGTTCGCGCCAGACCATGGAACCGAACAACGTCGCTGAATCCAACCCCATCAAGTCGCGAGGTCAAACAATGATTGATTCCCGTTGGTACATTTTGGACCTCAGGGAGCGCAGAGCATCCACTTCATCATGACGATGATGTGGTCTCCATCACCAAGTGTAACTGTCCGGTCGCAAAATCCGGAAAACATATTGACATGCAAACGAAAAGAAGCGATCATGAAGCAGCAACAACGCCAAGAACCAAGTACAAAAAAATAAACAAATTCGAAACCGGGCCGGAATCACACGAGCACGCCATCACCTCGTCCTCCTCCTCGGTGTTGAAAGGAAGGCATTGCCGAACAACGCTGCTAGGCTCACAAGGATAACTTCACAAAAGCTTCTTTGATCCACAGTACGGATCTCCGTTGCCCTTCCTAAAAGTAACATCGTTCGAGAAACTGCACATGCCCACTGAGTAAATGCCCAAAGAAAATACAATCTTGGGGGCGAAGCGCACGGTCCCCACTGGGATAACCGAAAGAAAAACGAGAAAAATCATGGTGGGGTCGGTGGTGGGGACCACATCCTAGAAAATGTCCTCGGCCTTGATGACCCAGTCAAGTTTCCCTCGTCGATAAATCTCGATCCCTTCCTTCGTGACGAGCAGCTTGTACGAAGGGTCTTTCCTCCTCAAGAACCCGAACCAAGATGGCCGGGATTTGCGCTGCACAATTGTGCCGTCGATGGAAACCTCCTGCGCAGTTGAATATTGTTGAGGGGGGGGTAGTGTTTAGGGAGATGGTGTTCTGTAGATTTTTTGAGGGGGGAGATTTTTTGTGCCTGCCTACATGTAGGATTTCTGCAACCACTCCATTTTTTTACTTCTACCTCCGATCAAGCGTTCCAGAATGGGAGGGAGACAATATCTATAGTTGACCGGGGGGGGATACTTCAGGGTGCAGTTTGCAAAAAAAAAAACGAGACAACAGTTCCGCCCGTTTGAACCAAATCATAGACGTGGGGATCGATCCCAACCTACCACAAAACATCCTACCGGAATACCCTTGACACTCCACAGCTTAAAGTCTCTTGCTGCCCCCCAACGCACCAAGTTCCCTTTGTTGGTGAGCTTCAGCGTGGCCTCCATCAGGTGGGCCTCGGCGTGCTCGCGCTCTCGCCTCCGGCGGAAGCCGTTCTTGCCAAACGGCAGAACGCCCGTGATGGCGGCCATCTTTGACCTCTTGAGTTCGCCGCCCTCGCGGGCAGCCTTACCTCTCTCCAACCTCTGCGCCCAGATTTCGGAACGGTTCCTCTCGATCTTGGACATCTGCTGCTCGTTGGGGGTGATAACAGTCTTCAGTTTCTGCGGCACGGGACCGATCTTTCGCCCTTCCTCGTCCCGGGTCGCCTTTCCGGCGGACGAGGCGTGAACGACGGAGCCGGAGTTGGGCGAGACGTAAATCATGGCCTTCTTGCCCGGGCTCACCAGCTTCCCGAACAGAAATCTTCCGGCCCGCAAGACGTTCTCGTCGTGGAACTCGTTGGGCGGGGAGAACGAGTTGCTGTTGTTGTTGCCGTTGCTGTAGTGGTTGTTGTTGTTGTTGTTGTTGTTGTTGTTGTTGTTGTTGTTGTTGTTGTTGTTGTTGCTGTTGTTGTTGTTGTTGTTGTTGTTGTTGTTGTTGTTGTTGTTGTTGTTGTTGTCGTTGTCGTTGTTGTGGCGCCGGTCCTCCTGCTGCTGCTCTTTGTGCTGGCGTGCCTTCTTCTTGGTGGTCCACGTGTTCGGAACGGGGATCCGCGAAGAGACCTCGCCCCCGCCACCGGTGCCGGCCTTCTTGCCGTGGTCGTTGACGGCGCGAGCTTGACGGGCCTTGCCCGTCATGAACTCGGCCATCGACGCACCGGAAGCGGGGTTGTTGCCAACGTCCGCCCGAGTGCTCGGCTTGGCAGCAGTTCTTGTCGCAGGCGTTGCAGGTGCAGCGGTGGCAGTAGATGAAGCGGGTGTGGCCTCGGATGTGGCG